TTGTTCCGCCGACACCGGCGACAACCGATGCCCCGTTTTTGCCCTATAAATAGCCACTTACTCTTTCATTTTTGCCACTCGTCCGTGTTGAACGATCTCCCTTCTTTCCCCACTCTCTTGCGATTCTTGTAACCGCTTTTTTGCAATTTTAAATTCAATTTTAATTGTATTTGTTGTTGATACTTGCCACTAAATTTAAACAAATTAGAAATTAAATTAATTATTTTCCCAAGCGAGGAGCTTAAATCTGGAGCTAAGAAGCGGTCGTCGATTAAAATCAGGTACATAAACGGAAAACTCTGCTCATTTTAATTGTTAGCAGCTTCTGCATCATTTCTTCTTCTACTCCTAATAATTGCTATAACTGCATAAAATGCATTCATATCATATCTTAGACAAAATAAACTGCCATCAATCAAATATGATTAAAGCTTAAATACCGCGGTTAATTAATAATCGTGTATAATGCTAAATCCGACAATTCGGCTAAAAGAATTAGTTAATAATAACTACGGTTTTTCAATCGCCTTATCGTCGAACAAATCTGGCTTAATCCAATTAATTGATAATTGTGGCTAAAAGCCTTAATAAATCGCGTTTTGGCACAATTGCCTTCAGTTTAGATCAATTACATTTTTGGTCATATTCAAATGCCTTTACAGTTTAATCAATTTTTGGCAAACAATATCGCTCTTATATAATAATGATTAACCATTTTTAGTCGACAAATCCGCCTTATTAATCAATTTTTTTTTGATATAATGCCTTTGAATAATTCAATCCAATTTTGTTGCTTTTATTAATTAACCTCAATATTATCTATTCATTTTCTGGTCTACATGTCGCCTTTAATCAATAACTTTGGCAAAGAAATTGCTCTATTAATCAACTCATTTTGGCTATAAAAGCCCTTAAAATCAATAATTGTTTGGCGACAATCGCTCCAATTTCAATCTACTTTTTTTTTGCAAACAAATGCCTAAATCAACTCATTTTGGCTAAAAGCCTTAAAATCAATCAATTTCGGCGACAAATCCCCCCAATCAACACTTTTTGGAAACGAATTGCCTAAATCAACGTCATTTTGGTTAAAAGCCCTTAAATCAATCAAATTTCGGCGACAATCGCCCAATCATGCACTTTTTGGCAAAATCGAATTGCCTAAATCACTTCCTTTGGCTTAAGGCGCTTAAAAATCAATTCATTTTGGCGTACAAATCTGTCCCGCTAAAAGTCAATTTCGGCAAATAATAGTAGCCCGAACATGTCAATTTTGGTCAAAAATAAGTCAAAATGATCAATTTCTTGTGTAACAAAAATGCCCGAACATCTTTGCTAACAAATATAGCCCAATTTCAAACATCTTTCCTTTTTGCAAAAAAATTCGCTCCTGGCAACAAACGCCTAATCAATTCTTTGGCAAAATGCCTAACAAAATGCACGAAGCATACACACACACATGCATTAAGCATACCAATTCAAAGCCCTTCAAGGAAGGCCTACCGAACTACGTTGACTTTGATCTTCCATTCAAACGGAAGTACGTAGGCACGTTTGGGATTTAACCCCAAGCGGCAAGTCAAATTCACTCAAACATTTTTATTTGGTCCAATTACATCCATTGCCTTGCAAAACATTCACTCATCAATTAGTTCATCAGCATGACATAGTCTCGGGATCCACCTCGAGTTCGTAGACTGTGCCTTAAACATTGGGATAATTAATCTAATAATTAGGTTAATTAAAATTGGAGTCACTTAGTCGGAGTCAAACTAGGGTTTTTTTTCCCTATTTTAGCGGTAAATAATTAAACAAGGTGGGCGGAACTCATACATTCACGTGCATTTTCTGCCCTTAGTCAAGGACCACAGCCCAGATCAATCTGTAATGTAGCAAACAAAAGCTAGGAACACAGACCAATAGTCCAGACCTGATTCAGCAGAACCAATTCCAATGTTTATCAAATTCCTACTTATCCAAACACTAAAATTAAACCAATCCAAAACCAGAGAAGTCTCAAGACACAGGGAAACAACTCTCATGACAAACTCATAACGTAATCTTGTCATTATAGTAGTCAAAGTGGGCACTCAATTCAGTGATGCATGTGGCTCGTCATAACAGAGTCAGTTTGGATGTTTCAGCCATAAGTTGAGTTATATATATCCAAATTGGACACAAGAGGATGGGCTGGAAAGTTAAGCAGTAGACCTATGGAAAATGAAAGGGATCGAAAAATAGTCCTTAATCACACCCAATAACACTTTTTCCCAATTTCAGCTTACTTAAATCATATATAAGGTAAAGATTTCTACCACATACTAAATACTCATCAAATATCATCTTAAGACAAAATATCATCTTAAGAGCATAAATCAACAAAGAACAACAAGAAAACTTAAGGGCCTTTATTCCACAATTAGGTTCTGCCCACTGCTTGGAAGAATGCAAGAAAGAAAGTGTTTTCTCTCATCAATTCAACATATAGGCAATGCTTAGAAATCTCCCCAAGAACACATGTAAATACCAACCGAAAATTCAATAATCAAATCATTTCATTAAACCCAAAATTTCACAAAATAGTATAAAACTTCATAAAATCAAAATTTAACAAGGTAAGAGTGTTTTAATGAAACACTTACCTCAAAATCAAAGCTTGGAACACCGCCAAAAGTCACACAAAATCATAACTTAGTCCTTGCATTTGCCACCTTAGATAGCTCAACCTTTTAATTACCTCTTAAAATTCCTTCACATCTTTAAGCTCCAATTCAATATAACCTTGAATCTTCAAGAGGGAAGGTCTTGGTTGGAAGTCATATGTCTAGTTTAGAGTGATTTTTTGTGAGGAAATTGAAAACAATAAGGAAGAGAAGGAGAGCATATGGTTCGGCCAAGGAAGAGAAGAAAGAAAGAAATGGTTGCTCAAATCATTCACGTTGAAGATAAAAAAGATGAAGAGAAAATGGTTGCTCAAATCATTGAGCACAAGGGTATTTTAGTCTTTTCTCAACATAATTGGATGGTTAAGATTAAGTTAATGGTAATCTAATCCAATGGCTAAAAATATTCTCCAATTTATTTCCTTCAAAATATTATTTCTCTCCACAAAATTTTTAAATTTAATCCTTAAAAATAAGTTCTCTTATTCCCTTACTTAATATAACACCATCTCTATTTACTCCATAAAAAGATTGCCTCCAAGTTCCTTAATTAATATAACACTATAATTAACTATTCACTAATTATTTATCTAACTTCTCCAAAAATATTCATTACTTACTTTCTACCCATAAAAATAATGTGTACATACTCCAAAAATATTAAAGAAAATATTAAAAATATTAAAGAAAATATTAAACATGCATAGTAATTTTTTCTGGACCAAAATAATATCGACTTCCGGACTGGTGGTACTATCACACACTGGTAAACTTACTATTTCAGACACAGAAAAATTGGGCGTGACATGATATATCTATGGACTTTGTGCTTAGTTTACCTAGGATTAGGCATGGTAGAGACAATATATTTGTGGTTGTTGATATGTTTAGCAAGATGGCTCAATTCATTCCTTGTCATAAAACTGATGATGTTAACAATGTTGCTGATCTATCTTTTAGAGAGGTGGCACGATTACATGAGGTGCGACGGACTATAGTTTCTGATAGGGACGCAAAGTTCCTTTCACATTTTTGGAGAGTTTGATGGGGTAAGCTTGGTACTAAGTTACTTTATTCTACCACTTGTCATCCACAAACAGATGGACAAACTGAGGTTGTGAATAGGACTTTAGGAACCTTGCTTCGTGCTATTGTGGGTACGAACTTAAAAAACTTGGGAAGATTTTTTGTCATTCATTGAGTTTGCATATAACCGTAGCATATATTCTACTTCAGGTTTTACTCCATTTGAGCTTGTTTATGGTTACTAACTGTGTTGGATCTTGTTTCTTTACCTTTAAATGAACTTTCTAATTTAGATGGTGCTAAAAAGGCAGATTTGGTGAAGTCTTTATATGAGAAGGCTAATGGTGAAGTGCTTTTATATGAGAAGGCCCTAAAAGCACATAGAAAAGCAGGACAAACCAGTATGCTAAATGAGAGCGAAACCAGGGAAGGAGTAAGTTGGTGTTTTGTGCTGGGGAGTATTGAAGTTTGGGTACATTTTTTTCGCAAGGAAAGGTTTCCCAACCAAAGGAAGACTAAGCTTGATGTTTTTCAAGTCTTGGAGCACATCAATGACAATGCCTACAAGATAGACTTGTCAGGTGAGTATGGTGTTTCTACCACTTTCAATGTTAGTGATTTGTCTCCTTTTGACATGGATGCAGATTTGAGGACAAATCTTTTCGAGGAAGGGGGGAATGATACAGATCAACCATCACTCATCCATGGAGTTCAAGGGAGCAAGGAGCACAACATGGGAGATCCATTGGTTCTTCCTAGTGGGCCAATTACAAGGAGTCGTGCAAAGAGATATGAGGCATCCATGTCCTTATATGTTCAAGAACAAGTGACACAAGAGCTTCATGACCTTGCTTTCAACAACTGCTATGTGGAGCTTAAAGCCATACCTAAGTTTCTTACATTGCTTGAGGCGTGTGTTGAAGATGGAAGCACGGCCGTGCTGAGTAGCACGCCCTGCCCGTGCTAAAGTCTGCCTCTAGGTAGCACGCCCTACCCATTCTAGGGCCTGAGTCTGGAGTTAAAAGAAGACTGAATCAGCAACAGGTAGCATGCCCATGCTGGGTAGCATGCCCTGCCCGTGCTAGAGCCTGAGTCTGGCATAATAAGTTAGCCCATCTGTTATTAGTTTGGATTATAATGTTTGTAATGGGTCGGGCCACCAATAATTCGGTAAGCCTTTTCTTTTATCCTTGATTTGTTTGGATTAGTTAGTCCATATCCTTTAGGATTTAAGTTTTAGACTTAGTATAAAAAGCCTTTGTTACGGATCAGTCATCACTCATCCATGGAGCTCAAGGGAGCAAGGAGCCCAACATGGGAAATCAATTGGTACTTCCTAGTGGGCTAATTACAAGGAGTCGTGGATGAGCTCTTGTTGCATGAGAGCTTAAGGCAGCCTTTATCTCTTGCAACTCCTCTCTCCTGTCTTGGATGAAATTTTGTAAGTTCGAAACTACCCTTGAATTGACTCCATGAAGAGTTTCAATTGGGGATCTTTTAATTGACTGTCGTCCCCACTACTATCTCCAGACTTGCCTGCACTCATCGTTAGTACTCAAAATAAAAAACACCAAAAAAAAATTAGAGTTATTAGTAAAGCACTCCCTCACGTGTGTACACCCCTTTATCACTCCTTGTGATTCCTGTAATTGTACTTCAGAACCTTAGGTCAACCAACCAACTCAAAGTAGGTTTAGAAGCAAAGAATAAACCCTAATAAGGAAACGTAAGCACAAATTCAAGAAAGAAGACTCAAACAAAAATGGATGGTAGCATAAGGAAAAGACTATGTACTACTTGATTATATCAACTTAGAGTGTAAAAACAAGCAAACACACCCTAACAATACAAAAGAAGCAAAGAAAGCACAAAACAAAGAAAATGAAACTAGAATTAAGAAAACGAATTCTGGATATAATGGATGAATTTAGTTCACTACAAAGCTAACCAAATATGGACCTAATTTAATTCTACCCAATTAAAGCAAGCCCAAACAATAAAACCAAAAAAAAAAAATCAGATTTGACACAAAATTATAGTGATAGCCTGTGAATACTCAAATTTTGAGGCTTCTAATGTTGCTGGTGGCATGTGAAACTCTTTAAATGGAGGAAAGCACGCCTGCTACAGTGCCGTGAACTCTTTAATGATGGAAAGCACGCCTGCCACTAGTGCCGTGCCAATTAATTTGACTTTGCTAAAAAGCCAGTTTTCCCGCCGCGGCGGTGCGGCCGCCCCTTAAGGGCGGCGTAGCTCGCTAGTCAATACGGAAGCTCGAGTTTAATAAGTTGATTCAACATCAAGTCGGGAAGGAATCCCGTAAAAGACATCAAGCCCTGGAAGGAATCCCGCAAAGACATCAAAGCCCGGAAGGAATCTGCGAAGAAATCAACAGAAATGAATCTGCATCAAAACCGGAAGGAATCCCGCAAAGAGAAACATCAACCGAGAAGGAATCACGCAAAGACATCAAGCCGGGAAAGGAATCCTGCGAATGAAAATCAAAATAGAAATGGAATTCTGCATCAAAACCGTTGAAGAATCCCCGCAAATGACATTCAAGCCGGGAAGGAATCCTGCGAAGAAAATCAAGACAGAAGATGAATTCTGCATCAACATCATCAAAGGTCGGGAAGGAATCTCCCGCAAGACATCCATCAACATCAAGTCGGGAAGGAATCCCGCGAAGAAATCAAGCCGGGAAGAAATCCCGCGAAGAAATCAAGTCAGAAATAAATTCTGTATTGATATCAAGTCGGGAAAGAATCCCGAAGAAATCAAATCGGAAATGAATTCCACAATCAGCATTAAGTCGGAATTGGCTTTTGCCCCAATAGCAAGTCGGAAATAAATTCCGCACCGAGACGGAAAGGAATTTCGCACTAACATCAAGTCGGAGATGAAATTCGCACCAGCCGAGGACGAAGTTCACATCCCAGAAGGAACTACGAAAGACCTGATCCCTGATTTCTCCCCATCCCCCGAAGAGGTCTTGGGAAGATACGTAGCAGCCGCAAAGGCCACGGTCAACCAAACACAAGTTTTGCATAATAAAGAAGCATTTTCTCTTTGCCAATATAAAAAATAAAAAAATAAAAAAAGAATGGAGAAGAAAAGAAAAAATAAAAAAGCATGGAGTGAAAACCCGAAAAGGGCGGCTTTCAGGCAAAGAAAAAAGAGCCTGCTGGAGTCCGAAAATCCCGAAAGGCTGGCGGCTACTAGGCAAAAGTTAAGGCAAAAAAAAAAAAAAAAAAAAAAAAAAAAAACAAAAAGTGCTTTCATGAATTCTTTTAGAGAGACCATTTTTGTAGCATAAACAGCAAAGTATGTCCTTAAGAAAAAAAAGTCCCTTTCAAAGGTCTCCTTGGGAGTATATAAATCATTTTTTCCAGGAATCACTGAGTTCCTTCGAGTCACAATTCACTACAAGAAAATTTTGAGTCTCTAAATCGAGTGTCCAATGAGTCTCTAAAATCAAGTCTCCGTCACCAGTGGTCATTCTACAACGAGTCACAAAAATCGAGTCATTCTCAAAAGTTCATTTTGAAAGCGTCACTCTTTGAAGTCATTCCTCGAAAAAAAGAGAGAGGGTTTCCAAAAACAACCCCCTAAAAAATGTCAAACGATAATCGTGAGAAGGTATATTCTTTTAATACCTCGTCTCCACTTGGCCACGTTTACTTCGATCCTTTCAGACGAGCGATGTCATCCCACATTGTCTGTTTCCTCGAGTCAATAAGTGGCTTATGTTCTCTTTGATTCCTCAATCGATTGGACAAAAACTAACAACACCAAATTGTTGTGAAGTATTCCATGTCACACCATTTCTGGGGGCAAAGAAGTGATAAGAACCTTCACCATTTCTTCCCATCGCAGAAGAAGCAATCACGTCTTCATTAAGAAGAAATCTATTTCAGTTAATAAAAGGGAATCAACTCTCTCAAGCAGGGGGACAAAATCCTCCCAAGTCGGATTCAGGGGCAAGTGTAAAAAAAAACATACACAACCAGGTGGAACCAAACCATCGTCAATCTCTTTTAAAACCCAACAAACCCAGGGTAAGAACCCCGGTTAATTGGTTAACCTTTTTTATTTTATACATAAAACCTAGGGTGAAACCCTAACCAAATAACCAACCATTTTTCATCCCAAAACCAAGCCCATTTATCATTTCGACTTTTAGGTGGCCCTTGGTTCCCAAAGAAAAAAAAAAAAAAAACCAAAATAAAAAACCAAATCTCTTTTCAAGCCCTCATTTAAGAGCAAAAATCTCTTTTCAAGCCCTCATAAGAGGCAAAACCTCTTTCCAAGTCCTCAAAGAGGCAAAAAAACATCTTAGTTGTAAACATAAAATCCAATGCATTTGATTCATTTCATTGGCATAAAAAGGAAACCCACGGACTGGGTTCCTCCTCTGCCCATCCTCAAAAAATATTGGCTCCTCAGACAGCCACTAAGCTCTCATAAAAATCATTTTATATTGATAGCCAGTGGGGGCAACTGTGAATACTCCAAATTTTGAGGCTTCTAAAATGTGCTGGTGGCATGTGAAAACTCTTAAATGGAGGAAAGCCACGCCTGCTACAGTGCCGCTGCCAATTAATTGACTTTGCTAAAAAACAGATTTTCCGGCCGCGCGGCGGTTGGCGGGCAGCCGCCGGCCGACAGGCGGCTACAGTCGCCTGTGTAATACCCAATTTTTTTAAGCTCAAAGAGCCTATTTTCCGGACTGCAAACCAGTCCGGTCGGGACCGAAAGCCATTTGGGACAGTTCGCCGGAAGTAGCCAATTATGGTACTTTGAAAAAAAACATCCAAAAATTGCGAGGATCGCAGAACTGGTCCCAAATATTTTTTGGAGGTCCGGAACTCCCGGAAAAGCCTCCGGACGAAAAAAGAAAAAAGAAGGGAAAAGGCCACAACATGCCCGGCCCGCGGGGGTGGGCACGCCCGCCAAGGCCAGCGTGGCGCGCCCGCCCAGGCCAGCGGGCAGGGGCGCCCGAGGGTCACGGTTTTTTTCCTATAAAAGGTCTGCTGCTCCGTTTTGGAGACCAACTCAGGTTTGTGTTGACGGGACGCTCCTTCTCCCCCTACGCTCCTTGCGATTCTTTTACTGCTTTCTTGCATTTTAATTTAGTTTTTATCGCTTTCTTGCTTTGTTCTAAGTGGTCAACTAAAATTTAAATTAATAAAAATTCCCTTAAGCGAGGAGCTTAACCTGGAGTTAAGAAGTGGCCGTCGATTAAACAGGTACGTTAAGTTAAACCTGCTGCCTATTTTAATTTTTGCACTTCATGGCATGCTTCTTTTCTACTCCTAAATAACCTCTGCCACTTGCATAAATGCATCCAATCATAATTAGGCAAATGAATTGCCTCAATTTAAATAATATATAGAGGCTATGCCCGCGTATATAATAATCGTGGTATTAAAGCCTAATCCCAACAATTATTGCTTAAAAGCCCTAGTTTAATCACATAACTATTGGTATGATTGTCTTTATTTCAAAACAGTTTCGGCTTAAGCTTCCAATTAATCAATAGTTGTGACTAAAAAGCTTAACATAAACACGTTTTCTTGGCAATAAATGGCCTACATTATAAATCAATTAATCACTTTTGGCAAACAAATTGCCTATAAGTGAGATTGATCCTTTTTTAGCGGCAAATCACTTAAATCACAATTTTTGGCAAAAGCCTTCAATTAATCACTTTTGGCAAATAAATGGCCTCAAATCAACCAATTTTGGCGACAATCGCCCAATCATCATTTTTTTTTGGCAATAAATTGCCTAAATCAATGTTTTGGCTTTAAAGCCTTCAAATAAATCAAATTTTGGCGACAATCGCCTAAATCACATCAATTTTTAAATCCAATTCATTTTGGCCAAAATCAAATTGCCTTAAATCCACTCTTTTTTTGGCTAAAACCTTAAAATCAATCATATATATGGCGACAATCGGCCTAA